CGCGAGTGGGGCTTGAGGAAGTGACGTCGCCTGCGTCTGCGCAGTGCGACCTGATGCAGCCCCTGAAGTGAGACACAGGAAACAGAAATACTGCAAAATAATAATAATAACGCAACTAAACGAGACGAAGTAACGTTGTAACATTTAGTTTCGTCTCGTTTTGTTCAACGAAAATGAAGAGATATTTTAGCATAGTTTTTATTTTGTAAACCACATTTAGTCTCGTTTTTATTTGTCCACAATATTGCAATATACCTTTAATTATAGTCATCGTCACATGACCAGCATTTACATTGCGTCTCGTCTCGTTTTCGTCACGTGATAAAGGTTCGTTGACGACGATATTTAGTCATAAGTTTCGTTGACGAAAGCAACACTAGTTACTAGTAACAACAGAATAGTTACTAATCGCTAGTGTCTATTTAATAGGTACTAGTATCTAATGAACGAGTCCTACATGCAATGACTAAATGCCAAAAATTCTGATAAGACATCATGGAGTGTTAGTCATAATGATGGTAATAATGGCATTTAGAATGAATGAATTGTTGTTGAATTTTGATGGTGGCGTTTGACGGGTTTCACTCCTCCATTATGGGATGAAATGAATCCATTTGTCTTGGAGAGATGAGCGATGTGTGGTGTCTTTCTTTTTTTCTAAAATATGTATATTCATAATATTTGCATCTGCACATTCTCCCAGTAGTCGACATTAGATTGGTGTCATTAGACAAACATCCAGTCAGTGTAATGTTGGGTTGAATCCAGGCAGTAAGTCTGTCTGTAAGAGACTTCAGTCTCAAAGGCTATTCAATACCTAATTACTCTCCTAATTTACTAAGAACACAGTCTGACCTATTGATTTGTGATTACTGTAAATAATACAGACACGTCTGAAGTTGAGCTCATTTTCCTTCGGCAGCTCTAACGGATGTCAGGCATGAAAGCAATAGGCCGTGCTTTACAGTGAATATAATATTTGAATGTTTTTATTTTTATACATCTTCAAATCAGCTAAATAATAAAGAATCAGCTAAAGAATCTGCTAAATAAAAGTAAAGAGAAAAGAGCAAAGGGTAATTGAACATAGAAAAGCGGTTCTCTTTAAATACAGATAAAATATAGATAACACTAATGTTAAAACATTTATTAATTATATCAATATGACTATATATTGGTATCAGTTATCTTTTATGTATTCATTTATGTATTAGATTTTTTTTTATATATATATTGTTGCAGTTTAAATTTTTTTTATTTTTTTTAATGATTTATTTTTCATTATTTTCATTTTTTTTTAAATAGGTTGAATTAAAAAAATGGTTGATATTAGATAAAGACATAATATCACAGCTTTTCCCCCCCCAATTTAAATAGGAAACTCTGCTTGTATATTGGATCTGCACTGTTATCCATCAATACTGTCTGCTGGTTATTACTGAAAAAAAAAAAATCAAATATCAGTATTTTTCTTTAAATACAGATATAACACTAACGTTAAAAAATGTGTTAAGTATATCAAAATGACTATATTAGTATCAGTTTATTTTTTAATTATTATTATTTAATTATATTATTTTAATAATTTCTTTTCTTATTTCTATTTTTATTTTTTAATTTGGTCAAATAATTTTTTATTGTAATATTTAATATGTTTTTATTTATACAATAGTAAAGAGCAAAGGGCAAGTGAAGGTAGAAAAGTGCTTCTCTTTAAATAGAACAGCCTGCTCTTTTGAAAGATTACTTGTTATCTCATCACATTAATCATCTCTAGACACATTAATTCAGTCTTCCTCAAATAACTCAGAAATGACCCACAGTGACCCTGCAGTTTGACAAAGCAAAGCATCTTGGCTCTCGTCACTGGTTTATGAATGACCCTGTGCTTTCAAAGTCAGTGTGCTGGAAAATTCTATATATAAAGCTTTATCTTTTCTATTTACTAGGTTCAGTGTGGGAGAAGTCAATACGACAGATTGGCTTCGAGAGGTGAGTCCAAGTGCTTATTTTAATCACAAGCCTATAAACTGCCTTAGAAACATTTTATGAAGGTTTCATTTCATGTCTGTTTATCAAACTCTCACATATTGCTATCGTGAATATGAAAGGTTTTTAATTGGAAATGTTTTTACTGCGTGAAATCTTTTGGCCTGTCTTTTACAACTGCTTCTTTATAGAAAGACACTAAACTTGCAACAAGCACTGCAAAATCATCCCCGATTATTGATTGAGTTTTTATGGAAAGCTTTGAGGAGGAGAAGAGAAAGTACTGTTGCTACCAGAACTTTGAGAGCGGTTTTGTGTAATTGACTGTGTTGGGAATGGAGTAGCATACTAAATACTGTGCAGTATATACTATATACTAAATGCTATTTTAAAAAGAATGTCAAACTACATTATGTAATGATGACAGGCATATGTGTGGTTCATATTTTCTTCAGTTCAAAAGTGCAGTCAGTAAGATTTTTTAATGTTTTCAAAATCAAACTCTTCTGCTCACCAAGGCTGCATTTATTTGATCAAAAATACAGTCAAAACAGTAATATTGTGAAATATTATTATTACAATTCAAAATAACTGCTTTCTATTTGAATATATAGTAAAATGTAATTTATTTCTCTGATCAAAGCTGAATTTTGAGCATCATTACTCCAGTCTTCAGTGTCATTCTAAGATGCTGATTTGCTGCTCAAGAAACATTTCTGATTATTATCAATGTTGAAAACAGTTGTGCTGCTTCATATTTTTGTGGAAAACTTGATGCATTTTATTTTTCATAATTCTTTGATGAATAGAAATTTCAATAGAACAGCATTTATTTGAAATAGAAATATTTTTTAACATTATTAAAAAAAAAAAGTCTTACTGACCCTAAACATGTGTACATACTGTGCCCAAAGTACATACTAAATACTGCAGAAATAGTAAGCTATATGCTATGAGTATACAGTATGCTATTCTGAACATCTCATCTGCTTAATCTCATCGATTTGCTTTGAAAGAAAGAGTGATAATTTCCCAAGGGTTGTTCTTTTCCTCCTTTCAGTCAGATATTGCAAAAAGAAAAAAAGAAAAAAGGTTATATATGATGGTGAAATTGAACCATGTTCCAGACAGACTTTTGGGAGCCCATGGTTTGGGTTCATGAAGGACAGAGGACCATTGAAAGTGAGAAATAGAAATATTTTTTAACATTATTAAAAAAAAAAAGTCTTACTGACCCTAAACATGTGTACATACTGTGCCCAAAGTACATACTAAATACTGCAGAAATAGTAAGCTATATGCTATGAGTATACAGTATGCTATTCTGAACATCTCATCTGCTTAATCTCATCGATTTGCTTTGAAAGAAAGAGTGATAATTTCCCAAGGGTTGTTCTTTTCCTCCTTTCAGTCAGATATTGCAAAAAGAAAAAAAGAAAAAAGGTTATATATGATGGTGAAATTAAACCATGTTCCAGACAGACTTTTGGGAGCCCATGGTTTGGGTTCATGAAGGACAGAGGACCATTGAAAGTGTGAGATATTTAGTTACAGGACGACTGGTCCTGTGCGCTGAATTTAAATATGTCTATATAGTTTTACACATTTGTATTTCAGTTTTAGTTATTTTTACACAAGTTACATAAATGAAAATGAGAAATGTTGGCAACTAGCTGAAAATAATAAATGAATAGTATGAATAATAATAATAATAATGAATAACATTAATATATAATTGTTATTTATTGTTGTTATTATTATTAGTAGTAGTAGTAGTATTATATAAATAATAAAAAAAGTTTATTATATTTTATTTTGTTACAAGTAATAGTAACTCAAGTAATAGTAACAATAGTCTGTTTTTGTTGAAAAAAACTAACATTATCTGTCAAAATAATAATAGAAAAAGTATATAACCATTTAGTGATATTAACCTTTGGAATAGTAGTACAGCCCAGTGCAACTAGTATTGTTTTCTAGTATGATACTGTAAGGAAATGGTTTTCCTTATGTTTATTCCCAACACACAAAATCACTTAGAAGAGTGTAATAACTTGCACACATAAGAGGGATGTGTTTTCAGTTTGAAGTACTTCAGCAAACAGAGACAGATAACATTACTCACCACTTATGCTGTGGCCAGCTGTCTGCCGTCCAGCAGCATGGCTCCAAACCAGCGCTTCCCCTGATGAACACTAAACCCAATTAAACCTGACCCACTGTTGACAGCCCAATTTTTCAAGGCCTACCTTGATGTTTGTGTGTGCTGGCCTGACTGTGATTGTATTAAGTGCGGTTTCCTGAGTACGGGAATCTCCACCTGCACCGTTTTCCAAGCAGCGCTGGTCGGAGGGCTCGAATCACCATAAGTGGCAGGAAGTTTGGCTGTAAACTGTTTATACTCCTATTTAGACCTGTTAGTTGAGCGAAGGCATTTATCCGTGACATAATGGCCCGCTGATGTCTCTCTGCTCCACCGACCGGCAGGGAATCATGGGAGAGAAATGAATCACATGAGCGAAAGGAGTTGATGCAGGAATAATTGTGATGTGGATGTTTGGGGTCTGAAAGTCATTGTTAAGAGCTGATGTAGGGAACATAATTTAGTGGAGGAGAGATCCTGCAGACAGATGCACCAAAATGGAAATTAAAATGATGCCAAAAGAGCTCTTAACGCTGTTGTTTTATTGTTATTTTATTTTTAAAACCTGATCCACCAATATGGAAATTATGGCAGACATTATAGCAAAAGCGCGGTTTAGTTTTGTTTACAATCTGCATTTAAATAAAGTAAACACACTTAGGGCAAAGAAAAAGGAAGTGCTAGAGCTAAAATACATTCTAGACTTTTCATTTGTTGTAAACCGAATACTTAAAACCCAATAGTGACTTTTGTTTTTTTTAATTGATGTATTGGTAAGTTTAGTGCAGATACAGTAAAATCAGCTGTTTACAGCATCGAGTCATGCTAACTTCATTTTCCTCATCTTGTGGTACATATAGTTTCTGACCGGAGAAACATTTGAAAAGAGTGTTGCAGTTACACATTACATTTTGCATGGACCTAGCTTTTTCTGCAGCAGTTTATTTCTGCATCTTGTGCGTTTTGCCCTTACTCACCCAAACTTTTCAACAAGGCTACTTTATGTGAATGCGAGTTCCTTAGCAAGTATTTGTGAATCACAGGTGTTTTCTGAGATGAGGACATGACTGCAGCCGGCAGTGAGGCCCAAACCAGCACATCCATTGCAAGAAGGCTGCTTTCTGTGCCTTGCCCTGGACTTTTATGTCACTTCCTGTCTCCTGTAGTGTTTGTAGTCAGTTTGTAGTCAGTCTATCTATCTATCTAGTTTGTAGTCCGTTTGTTCATTGGTTCCCCTTGATTAGTCTCCCCAGGTGTGTCTCATCTTGTTAAGCTTGTTAACCCCCTGTGTGTTTATATAGCCCTAGTGTTTCTTTAGTTCCTTGTGAGTTGTTGAATGTAATGGTTGTCTGTTTGCCAGTCATTCTGTTCTTTGTTCCCTTTGGTTTTTGCCTTATCGTTTGCTCTAGTTTTTCCATGAAATACCAGCACATAGATCCTTGCCTCTGCCTGTTTTCCACAGCTTCTCCACAACGTTACAGTTTTTCACTGGCATGTCTCTTTGACTAGTGCATCTTTGAGCCTATATTTAGTATAAGTAAAATACTTAAGTACTGTTAAAATCAGATACTCTAAGACTTTTACTCAAGTTGTTTTGGGATTGGTGACTTGTAACGTGTTGTGGAGTAATTTTCACTGATAAGGTGCTTTTACTCAAGTATGGTTTTTAGGTACTCTTTACACCTCTGCACATTATATATTGTATAAGCACATAAATCATCCATACATCGCGTTTCCTTTCATAATAGCATGAATAACTGCTTTTCATTGTCTGAATGATCAACAAAACACCTTCACTCAGACCTGTTTTGACTAAATCCTCCCGACACCGACTAAGCACTTCAGGACTTAATTTCACTCTTGTGTGAGTTTCAGAAGAACCCAGTATGTGTTTTATGAGAAATATTTATACTCTTTTAATATGGTGCAAGTCCGATTTTATTGAACTGTGTGGGGAAGCATATAAAATGGCACACAACAGACGTGTGCGAAACTCAAACTGGAAAATGCTTCTCGCAAATGTTTGCCGCCCTCACAGATGGCGTGCGGTTTAACGGGAATTCTGGCGATGCTAGTTTCTTTGTTACAGTCACGATTACCTGTAACAGGTTCATGTGAATACTGGACGTCTGCAAATCTTTAAAAAAAATATGTTAAAGAAAGATGTATGAATCATGCACTTTAATTAATGTGCTGTCCGTGTTTGTAGTGTTATTGGTGCAGATGCAGGCAATGGTATCCGAGTTTTCCTCCCGGATATTGGGATGTTCATGGTGAGTCTGTCCGTGTGGCTGCTGTGCAGAAAGCTGGTCCACAAGCTTCCCAGTGAAGAAATGGCCCAGGACAACCATGACTTTGAGCCTGAGGAAAAGGTGAAATTTGATAGATACATTCATGCACACAAATGCACATTGTTATCGCAACAAGTTATTCATTAATTTTTTTGAACTATTTTATTTGATAAAAATAAATAATAATTTAATACAATTTAATAAATAAAATTTAGTATTTATTTTCTTAATACTACTACTACTGCTAATAATTCTACTACTTCTTCTTCTACCTGTTGAGCTACCAGAACTTTTGTTGTTTTTAATAGTGTCTGTTCCCTAGAAAACAAACCCAACGGTACCAGTCAAGCTACCAGAACTTAGAAATAATTCTTGAATTATTTTAATCATTTATTTTATTTTATTTTTATGTAGTCACATATTTTTGAAGAATAACACTAAAGTGGATGATTGATTTTTGTCCTAGATGATTGTTTTCTTTCTGTGCTATAGTTACATATCTTTCATATCAGTCCATGCTTTCATTCTTCAAACACGATAAAATAATTTCAACTCAAATCAGTATTTAATATTTGATAAGTAGCAATGCAATAAACAGTATAATGTACAGTCAGCCGTTTATTATCACAAAATAAATCTATATGTCTACAATAATGACTGAAAGTTTGCATGCAGTGTCAGCTCAGCAGAAGTGTTGTTAAAGAACTTTACTATGTGAAATGTCATAATCACATTTTTGTGAACCCCACCCCAATACCAGCTTTCCAATTTTTTGTTTTCCCAGAAATAAAGCCCTACAAAACAGCTTTACTATGTTATAGGATGAAGAGAAGTTCCCAGAACATCTGCTACGAGTTTATTTTGTACACTTAAATATATATGTGACCCTGGAGCACAAAAGCAGTCTTAAGTCGCTGGGGTATATTTGTAGCAATAGCCAACAATACATTGTATGGGTCAAAATTGTTGATTTTTCTTTTATGCCAAAAATCATTAGGATATTAAGTAAAGATCATGTTACATGAAGATATTTTGTAAATTTTCTACTGTAAATATATCAAAACTTAATTTTTGATCAGTAATATGCATTGCTAAGAACTTCATTTGGACAACTTTAAAGGCGATTTTCTCAATATTTAGATTTTTTTGCACCCTCAGATTCCAGATTTTCAAGTAGTTGTATCTCGACCAAATCCTATCCTAACACACCACACATCAATGGAAAGCATATTTATTCAGCTTTCAGATGATGTATAAATCTCAATTTAGAAAAATGTACCCTTATGACTGGTTTTGTGGTCCAGGGTCACATATTAGACTGAAACTAATCACAAAACGTCTTTTTTTTTCATGTTGACTGTATTTAGTTTAAAGCGTGATGAGCTGTAATACTAGAATATATTAATAAAGTTAATGTTAATAAGAGACTTACTAGAGGTGTAAAGAATTGCCTCATGCTGTAGCTAAACATTTACTGGTGTTTATGTGCTACTGTGAACAGGAAGTAGTTTCCTCTGCTGAAGGCCATACATATGGAGCCAATAAAGCTAGATGGCCGTATTGTTTGTGTGTGAGATCAGAGTTAATCTAAACCAGATTAAACAACACTTAAACAGACAATGTCCATAAAATGGACTAGTTTACTGTGGACTGTGTAGTATATACTCTTTAGCATGCAATGATAAACATTAAAAAAATTATGCACTTTTGAAATGTTTTTTTTTTGTACTGTCAGTTGTATTTTTATATCCATTTTATTTCAAGTTAAAAAGTACTTTATGTATTTATTGACTTAAGTACAGTAATTAAAATTATTATTATTATTATTATTATTGTCTGTTCCCTAGAAACCAAACCTGCGCTACCATTTGTGCTATCAGAACTTAATAAAAAACATTTAATTATAATTATTTTATTTTATTTTAAATAATAAATTAATAAAAGTTAATAAATTAACTACATAAATATTTGTTATTAATATTAATTATTTATTTATTTATGATTAATAATAAATAAATTATTTGTTTATCAACCTAATCATACTAATAGTAATGACTATGATGATTATTATTATTATTATTGTTGATTGATTAGTATTATTAAAATAAAATACTATCTATCTATCTATCGATCTATCAATCTATCTGTCTGTCATCTATCAGTCTGTCTGTCTGTCTGTCAGTCTGTCTGTTGAAAGAAACATTTCTCATTTTCATTTAGTTTCATTTGATGTACTAAAATAACTCAAACTAAACCTGAAATAATATGTATAGAAACTATACAGACAATAATAAACTAATATAAATTATAATATAAATATAAATTATTATAAACTAATAAAAATGACAAAAACACAACAAAATGACTAAAACTTTAAAATTAAAATGTAAACAGAAAAACATGAAACATGAAAAACCGTTTGTTTACTTTACTTAATATTATTTGTTCATTAACATTTATTAACATTTTTTAAAAATTATGCATTTTTTTGTTCTATTTTTGTGCTGTCAACTTTTTTTCATCCATTGTACTCTGCACATTTTGTCAAATGTTTTAGGTCATGTGGGTTCGTATTCGTACAGTAAATGTGCATGATTCTTATGTTCTGTGATCAAACACAGGAGGAGAATGACGAGAAAGTGGAAAATGGTGATGGTGTTGATGATGATGATGACGAGATGCTCTTTGATGAGGACTTTGATGCAGAAGATGAGGCAGAGGAAGAGGACGGGGAGAGAGCAGGTCTGGATGAGGAAGAGGAGGTGGAGGAGGAGGAGGTGCAGGAGAGCATAAAGATGAAGATTCTGCGCAGAGTAGCAGGAGTGCCAACAAAACTCAAAGAGATCATCGGTAACCTCATCACAACTGCTGGACAAGTGGTGATTACCATTCTACTGGGATTAACAGGTGTGGATACGTGATACATGTTTGAAAATAGGCAAGCATTCAAATGTTTGGGGTCGGTAAGATTTTAATGATTTTGAAAGAATTTATTTATTTTTAAATTATCAATAGTCTTTAGTTTACAACACAACTGTAACCGTCATAAACCATAATTTGCATCTTCAACCATGAACCATCTCTTCTGCTCATAGAGGCTGCATTTATTTGATCAAAAATACAGTAAAAACAGTAATAATGTGAAATATTATTACAATTTAAAATAACTGTTTTCTATGTGAATATATTTTTCAGCATCATTACTCCAGTCTTCAGTGTCACATGATCTTCAGAAATAATTCTAATATGCTGATTTGCTGCTCAAGAAACATTTCTGATTATTATCCATGTTGAATACAGTTGTACTGCTGAATATTTTGTGGAAATCGTGCTGTATATATCTTTTTTCTAAAAATACTTTTTAACATTATAAATGTTTCTGCTGTCACTTTTGCAACTTACAGACCCTAAACTTTAGAACGGTAATGCAAAAGCAAATGAGATCATTTTGCATTCAATTTATTTCATATATTTAATGGAAATTTTCATATATTTCTGTGAATAAATGTCCAGCTCATATTTAATCCCAAAAATCAAAAGCAAATATTAAAAATATATTACATGAAAAAAATAAGATTTTTTTTGTAATGTTAAGAATATTTTGCATTATGACATTATTATGTTTTTTTTTTAATTAAGCACACTCTGTACCTAAATATATATTGTTTATACTGTGAAAACTATAAATATCATCCTGTCTGTTTTTTAAAGACCATATTTAATCATATTTAATCCCAAAAATCAAAAGCAAATATTACAAATATATTACATGAAAAAATTATAATTTGTTTTTGTAACGTTAAGAATATTTTGCATTATGACATTATTATGTTTTTTTTTTAATTAAAGCTGCAGTCCATAACTTTTTTTGGTTAAAAATGATCCGAAATCAATATTTGAGCAAGTACATAACCAGCCAGTGTTCAAAACTATCGCCTTACTTTATCCCGATTCACAATGGTTATCTTATAATAATGTTTTCTAATTTGAGTAGTATGGGTAGGTTTTCGCGGGAAATTCGAGCATGCCACTGCGTCATTCCAGTGTTCATAACCAGAGTGGTACTGGTAGGAATATGCGGAAAAAATTTGAGCATGCTACTGCGTCATTACGTCACATCTGTAAACATAAAGAAGTTGTCTCGACTAGTATATCATGTGCTATCGTGTGTGATGATCCGTGATCGTTTATAGCCCTTTCTCACCGCAGCTGGAAAAATGAAACATCATTTTGATGGTGGATTGTAATCCAGAAAAGATTGAAACACATGTAACTGAAATTAAATTATATTCCAGTTTTAAATGTGCATCTGATTACAGATAGGCTGGGATTACACAAGATTTGTATTTTAAAGAAAACCAGTTCGAAGGGAGCATAATCTGCTTTTTGGGTTAAAATAATTTCTTAAAATTAAATTGGAAGAGTATGACAATTAGATTAGACTGTGCAGAAATTGTACTTGTTCAGATGGCAATATATGGTGAAAATTCTTATTTGGGTCATATTCCAAGACGTAGGCTAGAATCTGTGATTGTGAAATACAGTAAATATCCACACCGGTGCAGTGACTGACTGCCACACATATGCCACACATACTCTTCAGAACATTAGATTCATCCGTGCTGGAGCCGTGCCGACTCACAACCCACGCAAGCTAGATAATTCCACACACAGCTGCAATTCCAGGTTTTCAAACAGAGATGGTGACAAAGAGGCAAAACTTACGGACTGCAGCTTTAAGCACACTGTACCTAAATATTTATTGTTTATACTGGGAAAACTATAAATATCATCCTATCTGTTTTTTAAAGACCATATTGAATCATATTTAATCCCAAAAATCAAAAGCAAATATTAAAAATATATTGCATGAAAAAAAAAATGTAACGTTAAGAATATTTTGCATTATGACATTATTATGTTTTTTTTTAATTAAGCACACTCTGTACCTAAATATTTATTGTTTATACTGTGAAAACTATAAATATCATCCTGTCTGTTTTTTAAAGACTGTACAAAGAAAGTCCTTTATAAATTAAATAATTTATAATGAAATATAAAAATATATTATGAAAATAATGTCACAATGCAAATAAATATTAATGTAAAAATTCTAAATATAAAAAAATGCTTTATCAATTAAAAGTCTGTCAGTAGAATACAAGTCTAATCGGTCTATGTTCTGGTCTCCAGGTGTCACGCTGCCCTCTCTGAGCTCAGCCGTCTACTTCTTTGTGTTTTTGGGTCTGTGCACGTGGTGGTCGCTCTGCAAGACCTTTGACAAGCTGCTCTTCAGCTGTCTGTGTGTCCTCATGGCCATCTTCAGTGCTGGTCATCTCACCATACTTTATTCCAACCAGTTCCAGTTCCTGCAGGAGGCCATCGGCCTCAACGACAGCTACACCAGGTCAGAGACGAGCAATATCTATAACAGCGACCTGCATCATATTTAAAGGATGAAATACAGTTTGTGTTTCTTACTAACTTTGGGGCTGATAATAGTGTCTGTTTTGCTGGAGCACGTCACACTTTCTCACAAAATATGATGCATTTCGTAGCATTTTTGCTTTCGACAAGCATTTGTTAGCTTTGTATTCTTCCTTAATCAGCAGAAAAACTCCCAAACGTGATTCCTGTCTGAGTCTGAGCCACATTACAGCTATCTTCAATTCTCAGCCCATTTTGATATGTACTGTATGACATTATTTTACATCTAATCCTGATTTCAAGGTTAGAATTATGGCCAGTGACAGAAGAAAAT